CACACACACACACACACACGTGCATTGGCACAAAGCCCTGTGTTATGCAAGATTACTTCCCCTAAACAGGCAAGATTCAAACAAATAAAAGCAAAATCAGAACACAGTTTTGTTATATGCATTTGCTGAAGTTACCTTTCCACAGTCTGGGGGCACTGTTGTGCTTGCTTTTTACCTTGAAAAAGCTCCACTGCAGATTGAAAATAACATCTTTAAAAAGAACACAACAGATTGGAACTGTTAACAATCATGACCCTGCTGCAAGGTGATTGAAATACAACTACAGTGGGGCTGAGAAAATGTTCTGAAGCAAATCATATATACCAAGGAAGCCTAAGGGCTCCATAGGTACTTAACAGGAAAGCAGAGATTCTTGGTTCACTTTTTCAGCTAACCAATCTGATTCACATCTCCAGGACAAATATACACAGTCTTTCAATTCACATTTCTCTGAATTCTGTGATAATGTTCATGGCTAAAAAATATACTAAAATCATGTATATGAATAGTATTTCAAGTTCCTGTACATACAAGCATGCAGATTTCTAGGGCACCATGTATAAAAGACATATGTTGTTAAAAAAATGTTCAAAATGTATGTGAGATTGTTAATTTTTTAAAAAAATTCACAGACAGGTGCAGAAAGGAGGTCCTGGAATAGGATTAGGAATTAACATGTGCAAGGCTGACATTGATTAGAAACATTATGATCCCTTTATTTCTTGTCACAGTTTATGAGCAGAAGAAATGTGTCCTTGAAAGAACATTTTTCTGTTGTCTACAGATCGTCCCTCCTTCCTTCTGTGCAACTGCAGAAAGAAGTTTTAAGTACACATCTTCATTTCAGCTCATCTTTGAGCAGATTTGCACCCAGATTTTGCTGTGTGACAAAGTAATGCTTGAGAATTTTGTTTCAGTTTGGATTTGACCCGAATACACCAACATTTGCAAAATCTCAGAGCTGACTGATTTGATCCTTCCTAGTTTTAGTGCCTATTGTCATTTCATCTGGGGTACTAATACTGGCCAAAGGCCTGGCTAACATCTCAGGTGAGTTTTCTAGACTCTGGGACCCAGAATAAGACCCAGCGTCCTCGGCATGGTACAAGAATAACACGGCTATGTGCACCAACGAATTCCTGATAGCTTTCCAAGAATATTGTTCCTTGAGGAGACTTTTTGTTTTTTAGTTTAGCAGTGTCTCTTACAGGACTGCACATGATCCAAAGCAGACCTGGGGGCAAAATAATGATCTAGTTCGATGTCTTTCCAGGTAATCTGACGTTTCTGAGATGCCTGCTTGTTTCTCAGTGACAGGTATATCAGCAAAAGACTTCTGGAGGAAACATGGGGTCAAAAATATTATTCAGGAACAACAAAGGACCCTTATGTGGGAGTAAATGAACGTTCTCGCATTTTTTGTGCCGCTCTGGAGCAGGTTCAGGATGGCAGCATATTCTCCGTTCTATGTACATTGGCTGCCTATACATAAATAAAATTTATTGGTGCAAGGTCTGTATGCTTATCTGGAGAACCTGTAAAAAAACAGATAAGCATATACATGTGTGTAGGTGTATAAGGACTATGCAGGTCATCATGGTGCACAGGGCTGTCATGATGGAGATATATTTCCTCCAGTACTGGAGGAAGCATAGCTCTGTTTATCAGTTACTAGGGAACACAAGGGGAAATGTCCTAGGGTTGCCAAGTCAGCAGCACCCCCATTCCATGAGATTTCAGGGTCAATTCCTGGGGAGGACAATGTGATATCATGGGGGTGCAAGGCCCTTGAGCAGTAGCTATAGTATGGTCTGTATGTGCCAGGCATATGTAAAGATCCTAAGTTTATTTAAAGCCCATTTCTGACTTCTACTAGCAGCAACTCTAGAGCAGTGGTTGCCAACCTTGAGTGCCCAGATGTTCCTAGACTACAGCTCCCAGAAATCCTAGCCAGCACAGCTAGTGGTGGAGGTTTCTGGGAGTTGTAGTCCAAGAACATCTGGGGAACCACAGCTGGAAACTACCGATCGGAGCATGCAAAATAATGAAAAAGACAAGGTGCTTCTGAGCATGCTTAAATGTGGCCTCCTGAAGTCATGAAAAGGAATTTAAAAAAAATCTAGGGTAGCCAAGATTCTCCAAGCCATTCTCCAAGGTTTCCACTGTAAGGCCTGAGACCTGGAGAACAGATTTTGAAAACAGCATTTCAGGGCCAAAGCCTGTGACTTGGCAGCCTGAACAAGAGACTGTTGCACTCACGGGGCAGTTGTATTTTGTTTGATGTGATCTACCTCCAGTTAATTTAGAATAGCTTCTCTTGGCTAAAATTTGAAAATATAAAGGACTTTCATTATATGGCATATGCATGGACAAGCAAGCCAATTCTATTAATTCTGTCCAGCTGCTTGGCCCAGGGTGTTAATCTCTACCAGATAACCCCAAATACTCTTGGACAAAACTGGTTTTCCTAGATCCTTTTTAAAGTCATGCTGCAGACCTAGTTCTGGGATACAAAGTGCTTGATCTCCCTGTCAGATTTCCTTTGTGGACAGAGAAACAGGAAAACTGTGTGCATATCAATTCTTCCAATCCTCATGTGTAATTTTCAGTCCGTTTATGAATCAGATTCTGCTTTAAAGTTCCAAGGGCAACAGGCCAATAGACAAGTGGACTGGGCTGGTCTACAGATATTGCCTGGACAACTAATCTGTGGTACAGCCTACTTATTGAATGGAATCAATGAAATCTTTGGTTTGTTTTATAAGCAGCATGGCCGACTATTTCCTGTTGGTAAAAAGATCAGAGGATTTCATAGTATCCCTCTGGCAAGGCTGAATGTTGGCATTACTGCATTGTTCAACTTTCTAGGTTAATCCTAGGTTATGCAGAGGTTTATTGGTCTCCCTTTGGTAGTTATGCTCTGGGGCTCTGCAGGGTTCTATCTTATTTCTATCACTGTTTAAAAGCTGTTTAAATCCCTTCCAGACTATTACTTTGTAGGTGATTTGGACCACAACTCCTATTACTCCCAACTATTGGCCATGCCAGGTGGTGCTGATGGGAGTTGTGGTCCAAAATCCTTTGAGGGTGCCAGGCTGGAAAAATACATTATGTAAAAACATATTTTATCTATAAACAATCAGTTCATATCTACTTTTGAGCTGAGAATGGTGTCACAAAATGTGGAGACCTTTGAGATCTGGAAGGCAGCGGCATACCAACCTACATATTCATCTAGGAGGTACATGAGTCTGGTTCTCTAATTTTGCCCTTGAACATATTACATTCACCTTCACTTTTCCTGTTCCAAGAAATCTAAAATCCGAGGTCAAGAAAGTTACTTCTCCAGACGGTAATTCCAAAAATCTCCAAGCCAGCATTTGCGGATACTGCGAATTGTCATCCCACAAAACGACATTTCCAAGCTCTCCCTAAGGGATGTACGTGTGTATTGAACTGAACAGTTTGGGAAATATGAGGCCTATCACTCACAGTGTCCAAACTAAGTTGGGCCTGAGGGTGGAAGAAAGACCTGAGATTGTTTTGTTTTTATTTTTGTTTTAACGTGCCTTGTTTCACTGGGTAGCTGTCTGCAAAAACCTGCAGACTATCAGAGGCTTGTTGTGAGGAATGGCTGTTATGAAGGAGGAAACATTATCAGCATAGAGCTTTAGGGATATGCAGAGCTGTAAAATTAAATTTTAAATCCTATCATGGAGAGCTGAATATCTATTAACATTGTACAGAGAAAGCGTTTTCCAGGGCACATGTAGAAAATGTTTCTTTTGTCAGACCCCTTGAGAGTAGCTATCATAAGGCAGAATGGGAGTTTATTTTAAACAGCTACATGTGAAATGTCATAAAAAGGAATTCTAATTTCACATTTCTTTTTCCCCCCTCTTCTCTCATTGCTTTATAGGTCTTTAGCCATCTGGGGAATTTGACAAATCCACATAATGTCTCAGAGTGCCGAAATTTGCATTTGCAGCTCCAATGTAACTGAGAGGTGTGTTCACGCACACATACACACACAATAGCTAGAAAGTTAGATATTAAATAAACATCTAAGAAGCCCTCAGGGTATATATTATTCTTTCCAAAGTGAATTTAATCTGAGTTGTGAGGGAGTGACTCTGGGGCAGCCATCTCTCTTCCGCTCGCCCGTGCATATGCAGTCAGAGAAAGCGATCTAAGAAAAAGCCCTCTGGGCCATTTCGTTTATGATCTCAGCTTCAGTATCATCACAGCTTGCATAGGTGGGGCCAGAGGTTAGCAGGGCCAGGTAGCTGCTGAGGCCTAGACAGACAGACAGACAGGCACTTTATTACAGTCAATGACCAATATCCAAAAAACATATACATAAAATACACAATATTCGCCCCTACCTAGTGAGAACTCTCTCAGGACTTTGCTGCATGCCCTGGTCATCTCCTGGATCAACTACTGCAGTGCCCCCAATTCGTGGGGCTTCTCTTGAGCCCAATCCAAAGACTTCAGCAGGTCCAAAATATGGCAGACAGACTAGTGGTGGAAATTTGACTGCATCACTCTGGTTCTAGCTTGCTTCCACTGGATCCCTGGTGCGTCCTAGATCAGGTTCAAGGTTTTGACACTCACATACAAAGCCCTCCATGGTTTGGGCCAATGTTACTTGTTGGAGAATCTTTCCTTAATGTCATCCACCCTACTCACAAGATCATCCCAGTCGAGGTTCCTCTGGGTGGCCACCCCAAGGGAGGCCCATAAATTCTCTATCAAAGGTAGGGTCTTCTTTGTGGTGGCTCCAACTTTGTGGAACCAACTTCCTGAGGAGCTCCATCTAGCCCCCTCCCTGTTGACATTTAGGAAGCAATTAAAGACATTGCTTTTCAGGGAGGCTTTCCACACCGACCCCAGCTGACCACCTTCTCCCTATTCCCCCCTTCTCCCCCCCCCTTTTCCTCCATCCATTCTGGCTTTCTATGATTAGTCGGTGCCATCTGTTTTTAGGGTTATTGTTTTTGCTTTTAATGTTTTTATCTTTATTTTAGTTTTCTATTATATGTGTTGTAACAACCCAGATTAGTGCCTCAACACTAATGGGTATACAAATGGAATATATATACATATATAGACACACACACACATATATACATATATACATATATACACACACACACATATATATACATATATACATATATACATATATACAAATATACATATATACAA